ATTTTTGTTTGTTGGTTTAAATTTTAAACTATAAAGTAAATCAACGAAAGTAATTTCAAAGCCAAAATAAATGTTTCACAATTTTTATTTGGAAAATGGTACATAGAGAAGTAATAATTTCTAACAAATTATTTTCTGTGTTCATATTGTATTCTCTATTATCGAAATGAATTTTAAACAATTACTATTAAATTTGTTTTATTTATTTATTTACAAGTTAACGTGTGTATGTGTGTAGCTTATATATTGCCAGAAATTGCTTGAAAAATACGTTTATAACGTTGAAAGTCACGAAGCAAACTAAAGCGCTGCGCCAGCAAAGCTGCCATGGAACACAAAATAAAAAAATCATCGACAAACACAAATGGCATTACTGACGATGACGACAACGCTATAAAAAATACTTATGTACGTATACATGTATGTATAAACAATATCAATTAAGAATATATAGAAGATCAAGGCCGACTATATGATACCCTTAATCGAATAAGGTAATTTTAGTATTTATGCCTTATATGGGAGCAATAATTTTTTGATCTCTGGACATACCTATGTACATATAAATATGGTTGTGTTGAATTCAGGTCTTGTAAAGTAGTACATACTTAGGTATAGAGTATCAAATAATTTCATATTTTTGTTATTCGATATCAAAAGAAACAACTATTGGTATACAATCATGTCCATAGATAATGTTTAATTGAAATCATGTTAAAATCATCAGCACTAATGCATTCTAACCACCTGTTATAGCTATGTAGGGTATACTTAACAATAATACCCAGCGGGAAAAAATGGTAGGACTTCGATTTTTAGGCCTTCTAAGAGACATATTTACTCATTCTAAAAGATGCGATACTCATTCCTCATTGCCTTCTCGTGGAAGATATTCCACAAGCACATAGCTTCCCCTTCTTGTAGGATTCATGCACATTACAAGTTGCATTGCAAAACAATACCAAACAATCAAATTAAAATTCAAACATGATTGGGTTTGCAATTATTTTTATATATTGGCTCTCTAAAATCGGCTCTAAAATTTATTTTGCCCTCTTTTTTATAAACCGCTACCTGAAAACAGAAGAATGTATTTTTTTACATTCCAAATAAAATTTAGTCTTTTGGAAAACTTTATGTTGTAAAGTTCTTGTAAAGTAGGCTTTTATAATTAAAAATAAGCATGTGCCAATTTCTTATGTTTAATGTCGAATTTATTAATAATATCTTCCCTAATAACCCATGCTTCCTCTCGCTTTGTAGAATGTCTGCTTAGGTAATTATATTAAAAGTCTTAGGATAAGAATTTATCAATTTTTTTTATGAAAATTTGTTTTATAAAACTTTGATAAACTCCTATAAATATATATTCCTAAAACTTTTATAATAATTTCCTATACAGGAAGCGAGAAGGCAAGCACTTGGCTGACAATGACACGCCGTGTAAAATTGAAATGATTTTGCAATGCAGAGGAGTGTGCTTGTGTCTGCAAAATAATGCCTTTAGTAAGGCCTCTTTACTGCCTCTTTTTCCCGCTGGTTATAGTAATAATAAAAGCAGCACTAGTGTAGTACTCGTGATATAGTTTTCTCGGGTCACGCATTAATCACTCCTGATCACATAAAGAGTGAATTAACTGCATGTAGTCAAAGCAAAGTCAGTAGCAACAAGGGTAATCGATTTGGGCTTTCAACCGGTTTTACTGCTGTAGTTTTTTTGCTATAAAAAAAGGTTTTATAGTTAAACAAAGAGTGAAACTTCAATTTTTTTGAGAAAAATTTCAGGCCCTTTAATGTAAGTTTTATCAATTAACATAACATTTCCCATATTTCATATTTTTGCACACTTTAAATACATTTTGTGTGTTTGTTTGACTTTAGAGTTACTTAACTGTGAAAACAGCTAAGATTTATTTGGCCTGTAAAAACATAACGCCATAACTGATTACTGCTAGTACTACTAGCACAATTTTCCAAAATTTTAGTTTTATTGGTTCTCCACCATAATCAAAATAAAAACTTAGGTTAAGTTAACACGATTACATATGGTCAACGTGCGCTTTGAATACCGTAACTCGGTACAGTTATACGACGCCACACTTTGTCAAATGCGGTTTGAAACGTAAAACTCTCGAAGGCAGAGCAAAAAGGACGGTCTGATTTCCTTTAAACGATAATGGCTACGACGGACTTCCTCCACCCAGAGCTGAATTACGAATGTAAATACATTTTATAGCACGAAAAAATCGATGTATCTATTAGAAACAAAATAATAAGGTTTTTCATCTAAACGTTCAAAACCCTCGTAAACTGTGCAACCTGTGCATGTTTCCATTCTCGCAATTGAATTGTATAGAAATTGATTTGCACAACCCTTATAAGTTTGAGCGACTATTTAGACTGGCAAACTTGAGCAAACTCATCGTGCACTTAATAAATCCGTTCACTATTGTTCACTTTTGAATTTATGGACTTGAATATTCACATTTTAAACATATTTTGTACAATTTGTTGTTAAAATAATTCATTTTTTATTTTTTGATTTCGTTTGACATTGTTTTAAAATGTTTATAAATATTGTAATTGAACAGAATTTGAACAGGGGTTTCATGAAACAAGTCGAATAAACTTGCGCACTTGCACATATGGGAAACTTAAGCGTTTAAATGAAAACCCTTAATATATATTTTTGTGTGTTAAAATTAAAACTGAAATAAAAATATATTCCAAATAAATAATTTATTTTTTCAATATTGCAGATTAATGACCGAATTCAGAAAGAAGAAAACAAAACAAGTTTAAAAAATTTGTATGAAAACTACTCAATTTTTGTTAGTGTTTTTCATATAAAATTTTAAATATTGTTTTTTTTTACGGACCTAAAAAGCAAACATATAATAAATCTTTATATATTAAATATGTGTAAAATATTTTTATAAACCTTTCGAAATATAAATTTAAGAGCCACTCTTTCGGTGAACAATTAGCGATTAAATTAATTCTCGAATGTTGTTTTTGAACAAAGAATATAAAGAAATTGGGGCTTGTCCGTTGGTACCTAAAGGAGTTGTCATTCGGTACCTAACTCTATAAATGTATTGGTAGAATTTTTGTATAAGTATTGTAGCTCCAACCACTTTCACCACTGACTCCAAACCTACATAGTTGCATAAAAACGTACCTAAAAAATTTAGGAAAAATATAAAACATTTAAATAGATTTTTTTAATCTTTTATTGCACATTTGATCTGTAAACATTTAATAAATACATTTTTCAATTTGTTTATTCCCATATTTGCAAAATATTATGTTTATTTTGAATTTATTTCCCTCTTTTAATACTCAAATTTACAACTTCGTGTTTTCTAGTTTTATTTAAATTCCTCAAAAATTAATTGTCAAAAAATTAAAAATATATATTTCTCGTTTACAAAACGAGCTATTTAACGGCGTAAAAATGCGCAAAAAATAAAAAAATTGTTGTGTGTGTAAGAAAATGTGTTGTGTATGTATCTTCATATTTTCGCGAGAAAGTTTTGAAGTATTGTGAGAGAATCGGACTTTCAAACTAGCATTGTTTTGATAGACCTGGTCCAAACTGGAAAACTTTTGTTGAGAAACATTTTCTTAATTCTCTTTTGAAGTTTCCTTAATGTCTACACATAGAAACTTTTGTTTCAGTTCACACTAGAAATCTTTAACCCTCCTAAAACCGTAAACACGTAATTACCTACCTGGAATCTTTCAGACTCCAATATTCTGAACTATATAAAATCACAACTATAGAAGAAAAGGATAAATAAAAACAAAGGAAACTTTCTTTAAAGCTTTTTATTTATAAAAATTATTATAGAATAAAAAAATTACGATATACATATATTAACTAAAACTTAAAACTGTTTCACAACCCCAAAATACCATTAATTAACAAGTTGCTCCAATGGGCCCAAGAATACAAAAAATTACATAATTTATAAACTTTATAAAAGTTTTGAATATGACCAACTAATTCTTAATAAAAATTTAGTAAAAATGATCGAATTTCTATAAAATTGCAAGCCTCAGACTTCACGTATCTACTTGTAAGTGTTCGAATGTCACATGAAAATATTCAATGTAATTCGGATCTTTGCAACTCTGGGGTGCAATATTGGGGATTTTTAGTATTTTTGCTAGTTTAGCGCAATTTTCCCTAGTGTTCTGAGTCTGAGAGACTACAGGTAGGTATTAAGAATTAATTGAGAAACTTTTTCTTAATTCTCTTTTAAAGTATTCTTAATGTCTACACATAGAAACTTTTGTTTCAGAAACTACGTGTTAATTGCATTGTTTTGTTTTTGTACACAGAGGGAAAAATTAACAACAAATTTTTCAATAACATCCATTGTCAAGTATATACAGCTGTGTTCAAAAAAATAGGAGTGAGACTTCAAAATAATTGTGCAGGTTATTTTTAAAAAGAAACATTTGCGGAAATCCAATATTTTTCACGATATTTGTTTGTTAGGTGTTTAAAATAAAAAACGAATGAAATTTTTTATATAGCTTCATTAGTTCTTTTGTTATTTACTTTTTTCGGAATCCATATCAGATTACGACTGTTCAAAAAAATAGGAGTATGGTATATTCTCTAACCTAAGTTAGACTAATTTTCATCATTCGTAGTAAATATTAAAAATATAGTATAAAATTCTTGTATTTGAATAAATTTAAGCAATTTTAAACACAGTTCACGATTATTTCATTTAAAATCATGAAAAAAGTGTCAGAATTTACGAAAGGGGAAATCTGTTTAATTATCTTGGAAATTATGAAAATATCGCGAAAAGAAAAATAAAATATCTCAAGCTAATTTCATTAAAAGATTATTTGAATACTTTAAGAAGTAAAATTTTTTAAAATCTCTCATAAAAACTAAACATTTTATGCAAAAATGATAAGCGCTAACGGCGAGGTTTTAAAATTAATCTCATTAGGACGTCCTAAAATATTGAAACTTAGCCAAATTGTAGTTATAAAACATCGTGATCAATATTCAATTAGTTCAGATCAATTTTCAAACAAAATTTTTTTGAAAACATTTAATTTCAGACCATAAAGCATATAGTCAAATCCATAAAGATTGCCAAGTGCCACATTTAGAGGTGGTTTCATACATGGATGAATTTTTAATGCAAGAATACGACAACAAATTGTGTTTTTAAATCTAAATGAATTCAGAAAATATATTGGAAGTCCATTAATCGAAAAATATTAAGCTATAACCAACTTTCAAAGAAGTAGTATAACAGGAATGATTCAAGACGGGTCTTGACAAAAAGGGT